TAATAATAATTAAAAAAATAATCTTAAAAAGAATATACTCATTTTGGAAAGCTTTCATAGTAACTATCTTAATAGCACACACCTAGAAAGAATGCAGCTCTATCAACAAGACTGCACATTTGGTGGAGAAACCTAGTGACATATTTTCAGGCAAAGGGAAGGTCTCACCGGTTCTTTCACACCTTTTTTAGAACCCTTTACTGGCACAACTCTGTCAATCAATCACAGCCACACATTTGGGCTATGCAACCCTGATAGCAGAACCTTCTCATGTAGCCAGACAGGTCTGGGAGACAGAAGCTCTGGATTTTTCTTTTTTTGCTTTCACATCAGAGCTTTGAGAGAGAAAAACCTTCTTTGTAGAGTTAAATTCAGACTCTTGCTCAGCAAGTGTTGCTTTTCTAATTTCTGCCTACACACAAACCCTTCTTACCCAGAATTAGTGAAGCTTTCAGTCCAAGTGAGCCATGACATTGGCTAAACCCCAGGTTCCACTTTCTTTTGGTCTGGTAATTGCCCCATAGCTCCATGAAGTTGTATTAACCAAAGGACACCAGTTATTCAGGTCCCACAATTCCTCTCACTTGTCCTGAAGTACAAGCAAGTTCTTACCCCTTCACTGGGAAGTGCAACATGCTGTGGGATGGATACCTTCCCAGAAATCTTAGTCATATGCACACCTTTAAAAACAGTACCTGTGATCTGAATGCATCTGTTCTCACCAAAGCCAAATTAATCCAGCCATAATCATCCAAATTTGCAGTTAAAATCTAGTTCCCATTTCTCCCAGGGATTAAAAAAAGGTGAAAATGACAGGACATTAACCAGTAACAGGATGTGGCTTGGCACAATGAGGTGACGCAGCTTTGCACCATCTCGGTGTGACACAGTAATCATGGAAAAATGTGACTGGAGTCTCTAAATCTGTTCAAATTTGGAGGTAACTAGTTGAGGGCTGATTTGGTAAGTCATTTTTCAGTTCAGTGGCCAAATTGGAAAAAAATGATAAGTTTTGAACTTAGTGAAAGTGAAATTTTTGGTTTATCTCCCCAAAAGAAAATACTGGAAGAGTCTGTCAGCTACATGTAAACACAAGCCTGTAAGAAAATAATTCATCTGTATAAGAAAATCAGAGAAAATGAATGGGTGAATTCAGAGGACTGGAGAAGTTAGTGATAATAATTTTGTTTTCCACAATAATTCAAAGCACTAATTCATAACATAGGAAACTAGTAACATAGGAAACTAATTCATAACATAGGAAACTTCTAGTTGAGAGGAAAGAAACCCACATCCCTCAACTCTCAGGAGAGGGCCTGTCAGGACATAAGAGTACTCCAAATTGGATCTCCCCTGTTGACACTGCCTAACGTGTGTAAAATTCGTTAAGTGTTCAGTGAGACAGGGAGAAGGGAAGTGCATTCATATTCATTCAGTGATAGGATGTATAGATTTGAGCTCCTGGTTTTTATATAGATTAAAACATTAATTCCCTTCTGTTGACCCCTATCTCATTGCCTCAGAAGCTGTGGTTTGGACACCCTCCCTGGAAAGTTAAAGATGTAAGCTCAGAGCTCATTAAGGGGAAGAAGGAAAGCTGTATCCCTGCATACTGGCAAGTATCTTAAACTAGTAAGTAAAATGGAGAAACCTCTGCCAGGTTTGTTGATGTGGCAGTGAAAAAATAATAAGTTCATTTATTAATTTCCCAAAAGGTGTTGCTCAGTTCTAAACTGTGAGGTTGTAAAGGTGGGAAAGATATTTCCTCTAAATCTCTTGCTTAGATTTGATCACAACAAAGAATCTGTATTGATTGGAACAGATACAATCAAACTTTAACCATAGAAAAATCAGTTTCCCAAATTTGGCTCACAAAAAAGTTTTTTCTTGACAAAAGTTACAACTATCTAATATATAGCTCTATATTGCCATTAAAGAACAGTATAAAAGCTATCAAGTAATCAATTACAGCTATATACAATTTTGATTTTCCTCTCTTCAGTGTACTAATCTCCAGGGTGTCTTTATTATCTCCCATTTAAAGCTGTCTCAAGCCCTTTCTCCAAAAATGTTTCCAACATCCATATCCATTTTCTTTCAATATGGCAGCACTAGAATTTTAACACAAATCCAAACTACACTCTTCAAATACTTACATGGTTGAACCTTTACATTATTTAGTATCCCAATCTCATAAGATATAAATACTTAATTGTACAGTATGTTGTAGTCATCCACATAAGTGCTCGGACAGGAAAATGCCCGAGCTTCATTTGTGAAAGTAGATATTCACCTTTTACCTTTATTCATCACATACACTGTTTGCTACTCAGGATTACATGTTAATTACAGGACAATCACTCTCCTTTTCCTATGAAAGTCTTCAGATGCCCATCATTGGAAACAGTTATGTCTGTAGGCCATTGTATTTCAAACCTGAACTGCCATGATAAACTGTATGCAAGTGGTCCTCTTACCTCTTCTTTTAGCCATTCATTCTCTTGAATTTCTCTGCGACTGCTTTTGTCTAAGTATCTTACAGCTTTCTGAGAAAACACAATTTAAGATCATCTCATCTCAAAGCGGGACTTTGACAGCGCTGCACACTATAAAGAAGAACCTTCTGCTGTTTAGCAGAAAATAATTAAGAAACATCCACACAACAGACTGTAGCATTCCTTGAGGGATTACACGGGGTCTAGTCCACAAGGCCAGCTGTTTCTTCTCGATCATCCAGCCTAGTGCGGTTTATATGTCAAGCAATTTACCAGTATTTTGTAATTTCCCATATTAAATTAAAACATTTTTGCCTAACAAGTTCTGCTATGTTCCCACTACTGCTCAAATCTTCCTGTTTTCAGGAAGTCAAACCTTTCATTATTAAAAAACCCAACCAATATTACAAATGAGGCAGTACTGATCGACAAGTGACTTAAACATGTAGAGGCCTATGCTAATGAGCCAAGGCTACAATGTAATTATTGATGTCAGTAAGTTGAAAGGAACAACTGGGAGGAAAGATGACCCTGTAGATCACAATAAAAACAGTCCTTTGGATTATGTTTTCACATGACTGAAAATCCCAGCACTGAAGTCAAGGAGTTTAAATACCTAATGGGCCCAACCAGTGGTTTGTACTGAAGTATGCTTTGCATTTTGTGAGTGTAAAAAGTCATCACCATAAATACTTTGTAAATCATGTTTGCAAATTAGAGCTGGCAGAGATGACAAAAATTCGGTATAGCAATAAGCCTAAATTTTACTGTAGGCTGCACTATTTTGACATTTTAAAAATGTACTTTACAAGTACAAAACTTTTTTTCCCAGTTGATGCATATTTCCATGCAGACAATCTCTTAGTGTGTTACTGTTTTTTGTAGTCTATGCAAGGTCATAGCAAAAGTGACATGTTCTTGAACCAGTCATATCAGCGTGTGGTGCCCCAGTTTCCCATACTTCGTTTGTAAAATGCCCTCACATCTACTCACTGTTAATCTGATGTTAAAAAAAAAAAAAGGTACATGTGTGTATAACAATAACCAATACCATGTTTAGTAAGAGGATTTACTCTCAATTTATAAGAAAATTTCCATGTCTTAATTCTAATTAAAATAATTATTAATGCAGAGTACATGAATCCTAACCATGATGCAGTTAGCACTTTTTAAAAAGGCAGAAGGAATACCTCAGGGGCCTGTTCCTTACTTAACTCCATATGCCTCTCAACCAGTCTGTCATTTTCTTCTTTCAATGCTTCCAAAGCATTTCTGTAATATTCTTCAAATCAAAAAAAAGAAAATCAGAAATCAGTATTTGACATCAATTTCTCCTGACAACAAATAGATAATTGGGATGTTGTTCCTAAACTGGAACTTATCAGCCAGCATCACGTGTATAGATGCTTCACAGAAAAGGATTCAAACATTCTTCCCCATAGAAATTGTCCTCCGAAACCCAAAGGCCAGTAGCATTAACTACAGAACTAGAAATATGAAGTGGCTTACACATTTCTGGTGGCAATTGCAACAGCTGAGCAATTCACTGCTAACTGAGCAGTAAACTGAGCAATTCTCTGCTAAAATATTGATCTTAAGACTAAATTTTGTCTCTATCAATAGCAGAGCTCCTGGAGTCGTGTGAGAGATTTGCTTAGAAAACTTATTTCTTAGGTATAGAAGCATATTAGATCATCTTATGCACATAGTATTTTTTTCAGACGGTTATTATACTAATAAATTTTCTGTCTTATCTAAGCCTTCCAGGGGTTCCAATTTGACAACAGGGCAAAATGAAGAACATGGCAATTGCCTCAATGATTTGCTTTCATTGTTACTTGTGGTCATTATTTAGAAAGCGTGTCTTATGTCAAACTGAATTTGTTTGGCTTCAAGTTCTCGTCATTTACTATTTAATCATTTAATCGTTCCCTTCAGTTGTTTTTGTGCTATTCTAAATAGCCCACTGCTGCCTGGTATTTCCTCCTTTTGAAGGAATGAATGAGATTGTAGTAATTTTCTTTGAAGGAAGGCACTTCATACTTGTTCCAGAGGCTTGAAATTCAGCCTAGTTCTGCACTTGTGTTGCAGACAGCCTACTGCTGATCTGGCTGTAAATGAGTATCTGGTCATGGACCCACTGTGAAGTCAAAGGCAGGCAAATACGAAAGGTCCATTAGTTGTGCAGTAGTTCTTAACACTGTGGGAGCTGGCCTGCCTTAATCAATCCACCATCCAGTCTTGGCAGAATGAAATGGAAGTACTTACATGCTATAATTAATTAATCTTTTCATTCTTTCAGACAGCTAAACAACCTGAGTTGTACTGGGAGAATGAAGAAAAGGAGGAACTTTTCAGACATATTTATTGTTTCTAAGGAGGCTATTTTCCCTAACTCTCTCACTGCAACACTGTTTTCACTACACCTCTCGTAAGTGTATAGTTCTCTTTTGTTTCCTCTCCCTTCCAGCAATTTTGTTTAAAATGTCATCTCCAGACCACATGAACTGTGCCAATGTCGAGCCCTTCAGTGGTACCTACAGAGACAGAAATCTCTTCACCTATGCTTATTCCCTAAGCCTGTTACACGTTCAAGGAGTGAACAAGCCCAATTTTCTGCCACATCACTCTGGAAGCTTGTTAGTTCTGGTTTTTGGTTTGGATTCTTTGTTTTTGTAAGCTAGAAGACTGTAATCCCCAGCCACTTTATAAGTTCGATTTTAGGAAGTTGAGTAAAATAGTATCCTAATATCCAGTAGTGGCAGCATCATTTTGCAGTATGTTAATCAGGCAACTGTTACATGTACCTCTGTAATGATCTTTTTATAAAATACACTTCCATTCGATCACAAATTTTTGGCTCTGTACCCTGTGACATGCAGGAGGACAGACTGCACGTTCCTACTGGCTCATTCTGGCATTCTATGAAAAAGAGAATGGGCTTTTATATTTCATATTTCAGCAGCTGTATAGCAAAGTTTTAAATTGACTAAGAATACAGAAAACACATAATGAAAAATATCATCAACCTCTCCAGAATATAGAGATCGATATCTGATAAGCTATCTGGCAATGTAGAAAGCACAGTGCAGATCTTAATCAAGATAAAATATGTTTCAAGAGACAAAAAGATAGCTGGCTGGCTCTAAGAATACGGAAAACACATAATGAAAAATATCAACCTCTCCAGAATATAGAGATCGATATCTGATAAGCTATCTGGCAATGTAGAAAGCACAGTGCAGATCTTAATCAAGATAAAATATGTTTCAAGAGACAAAAAGATAGCTGGCTGGCTCTTATCCACAGTAGTTGATGCCTGGTAATAGTTGGCACAGAATATACAGAGACCCTTAGAGCAGTGTCACTGCCTGTTACTACCAGCTGCTCGGCTGTGGTCATGCATACTGAGAGGGACATAAAGGAAGAAAACCAGGACATCCTTCTCCCATTAGAAGCATGGGTTATGTAACAGCAAAACATTTAAATGATTTTAAAATAATGCAGTAGTAAAGAAATCTTTGTAAAGCACTCAGCACCACAATACATAAGCTCTCAGATTACTTCTACTGTTGTGTCAGTATTGAAACAGTTCCCAGTATGTGTATGTGTCTGTACTGGCAATTTTGCAGGGCCTCGTACACGAGGCTACGCAACTGGGAGGCAAAGTTCAGACCACTGGCTGAACAGCTCCCTCTAGTTCTGCGTTTAAACCAGTATGATAAATTCAAAAGACTGTTCCAAGAATGAGCTCATACTACTTTCCTGTCAAAGGAGTCTTCAACATGTGAAGTGCTTGTAGCATGACAAGAAGCAACAAGAGCAGAGTCAACATTTTCAAGTATGACTCCTAAGGGAGACCTGTGTGTAGGTGACCTAAATACATGTAGACCTATTTTTAGAAAACCGCTGTGCTTCATAATAATATTTTTAAAATATGAGTTGCCTATATTTTATGAGAAAATCATCAGAAGACAAGGTTATCAGTTTCTTTGAGTGTTCATAATTTCTGCAACTTCATAAAACAATTTAATAAAGCGACTTTTATGGAAACAGAGAGTTCTTCCATTTTATAGGATTATGTACTCTAGGTGCACTGTCTTGCAAAAGTTGATATAAGTTACTATAACCTGACAAACTAAATTCATAATTTAATTAATTCCAAGAATTAATACAGAAAGAGCTTATAAGACATGCATTACATGAGCTGTAAACTGACCTGTAGCCGTTTGAAGGTCATCTTTGACTTCCTTGATCTCTTTTTCCAGATTCATAATCCTGTTGGCCTGTGCTTTACTTCCCACATTTTTGTACTCTAACCAATAATCCCTCTCACTCTGCTTTACTGAAAGTCTTTGCTCAGTTCCTTCGATCTGGGAGTGCAGATCTATTAAAGTAAGAATGTCAGAAGACAAGTTCATTACCAATTTCTTGAAGTGATAGTTCATATTTCTTACAACTTCATCAAATTAATTAATAAAGGCATTTTCACTGGGATTGGAGAAAGAAGGGTGATTCTTCTACACTACAGCATGATGGCCTTATATAGTGTCAAGGGCCACCATCATTGCTGAAAACAGCTTGATCTTACTCTGCCAAGGAGACACAACAGTTCTCACTGAAATCTTGTAACCAAAGACACACGTGACTTCACTCTTACTGAGAATCACAGGGATGGCAGCCAGAACTTTCAACAATCAAAACCGCTCATTTTTACTGCCATCAATAATTTTTTTTATCTTCCAGTGGAACCAGTGCATAGAGCTTTCATGACTTTTAACTTAATGGAAAATATGAAGTCTCTGTACTTGCACAGTAATATACATCGCTTGGAAGGAACAAAACAGATTCTAATATATGGGGTCTGTTTCTATAAAAGACTCATTTGTTCTGAATTTTAACTCAACTTAATTAACAGATTTACTTATAAGCCCTCCATAATCTCATACCACGTTTACAGAGCTTAACTTTGGGGAGGAAAAGCTTTATGCTTTTTATGCAACAAGGAAGTTGAATCTCTATTTAAAATGCACAAAAAAGTACTCAATCCTAACTGTGTAAACTGCAAACCACACTTCCACAACTCACAATGTACCTTTCAGAAGTTGTTCTTTGTCCTTAACATATTGCCATATTGCTTTCAGTGACTCTTCCACATCATCCCTAGTTACAACCTCCTTTTTATCTTGTTCTTTCTCCTCTTCTTCTATTTGTCTTAGTATCTGCCTGATGCGTGCCTGCTGTTCTTCCTTCAGAAGGTCATTCTATGAAAGAACAACAGAAGAAAAGGCATGTATTAAAACATATTTAAATTAGTTTTCAAAGTTACAAACCTAAGTATTGAAGAAAAGTAAAATCTGACTTAGTACCATGATGCACTGCAAAAACACTCAGCTAAACAGCTATTTTTCATATTCAAAAAGGATGGAGCAGAAGGGAGAGTTTGTATCTCAGAAGTTTCTCAGTAACTTCAAGACCATAACAAGGAAATGAGAGACAAATGTCTGCCATACCTTATTGGTGCAGCACATGAATAGTCCTCTGTTGCCTGGAAAGAAAGTTCCTGTTGGTTGATTTAATAATATTTATTCGTACGAGTTATTTACTTTCCTTCAAGATTCTTCATGACAATTTACCACCTTCAGGTAGAAATGTCAGACAATCAGGTCACTTGCACGTAACCACAAAAAAAGATTCTTGTCAGAGCTGGAATTAATTATACCTACTGATTCCACAACTGTGATTATATCCCCTTGCCCTGACCCTCTCAAGTGACACTCAAATTATTTGAAATTACTGATCGTGTATGCTTGCTCCCAAAGGATACCATAAGGGAGCAAATAACCACATCAGCCAAACTGTAACAGCAACTATGCCATAGAGAAAGTCTCAAACATCTCTCATTTCTAAAAGGAACTAAACCACTCAGAAATGTTAAGCAGGAAACAAAGAGGGGAGTCCAAAGAACTGTAAAAAAAATGGCTAAATTGAACAAACCGCACTTCAAGCATGCCCTGAAGTACCTTGCACAGTCTAAAATACAAAGGAGTCCCTGAGAGACCAGCAGCAAACTGGGGGAATAACTGTAAGAGACTTCAGATGTCTGCAGAGAGAAGAGCCAACATGCCACTTCCACTGATAGTTAAGACCACAAATGAAACACAATCCAGGCTTCAAGACTGAAAGAACACCAAGGAAAGCTAAACAGATGGATACTTACAAAAGCAGGGCAAGTATTGGGCATGGGAAGGACACAGAGACATTGTTTCAATGCCATAGGAAGTGCAGGCTGCAACATTGTTTAATAACATGATCTACTTTAAGGATTTTTGAGCAATTTGAATTCATTTTATTAGGTAACTATATATATATATATATATACACACACACGCTTTCAAAGTCTACTGCTCTGCTCTCAGTTATCAGATGTCATATTATGGTTCTTTATATTCTATTCTTTATATACAGTTCATACGTATGGTTCTTTAAAGTGTCACTCAAGTGTGATCAGTAGTTACATGTCCTTGTTCTAAAAATGACCCAACACAACTCTTAATCCGCAAGAAAGTAAGCCTTCATCGAGCAGTGCTAAAAATTGCACCTAGACAATTGTATGATGTTCTCTCTTCTTTGTTCACTTTTCATTGTAACAAAGTTTGTAAGAATAACTAAATTCTCATAGAAACCTGTGCAATTCCATTACCTCAGAAGTGAATCAAAGGTCAGCAAATCTCAATACTTGGTCAGATCTGCTAGTACTACTGACAAAAATGAAGTTAATACTGTTTATTCTTTGTGCTCTGAAATATTGAGGAATATTTGCAGGGTTGTTTGAAAAGGCACATCTGAATATACTGCAGTAAAGTTACCTACTGAAAGGGGGCTCACTGTCCTATGTTTGCTGCGGAGTAAGATTAAATACTCATGTGGTTAATGAGGATCTTGTGTGCATTGGAAAACACCTTTGCTGAACTCACTTTACCTTACTGCTGTGTCCTATTCTGCTATGTTCTACTCCTGCAGCTCCTTTTTTCCATGGCTATATTTAGGACATTTATGCTTTATGTCACATTTAATTCAGCTAACACTAACTTTTAAGCATATAAAGTGACTCACTAACTCTAGTTTCATTGACTATAAGAAATTCACGGCAATTACTAGTTATAGTGAATGTAGTAGTAAGATTAAAAGAACAAACTTGAATCTGTGAGTTAAAATACCACATATAAAACGTGTTGAGAGGAGGATGCATGGTCACTCACTCTTTTATGACATTCTTTGTTCTTCTGTTCCACTTGTTTCAGATCAAACAAAACCCGATCAATTGCTGCTTCTTTTGTCTCAATTCTGTGGAGAAAGAGCAAAGAAAGAGACATTCTTACAAAAACAGAAGAGAGAGAGATGTTATGTAAGCTAGATTGGAAATGTACTGAAATGTTTAGTTTTGTATCCTATTGCTTGACTAATTTATGTAGATACTACTGTCTGCTTACTACATATAAAGAAATTATTTCCCATATACATATGGACCTTCATGTTAGTTTGGGTCTCATACTCCTACTGAGAAAGACCCCCTGATTATACTGTTCCTTTGTAACCACTAAAGAGGATTCAGCTGGTTTATTCTTTCTGGATGTGGTTTAGCTGGCCTATTGCACAGGCCTCTTTTAGGACAAGATTATTTGTGCTCCAGAAATATTTATTACTCACCACTCACTATAAGGAAGCCTAGGCAACTCATTCAGACATGGGTCAGATGAATCCCAAACTGGAGAATTAAATGGGATTTGATTCCTCTGAAAATGTGGTTTGTTGAGCTTCATAAACTGCATTTGTACACCAAGAACTTGTTAGCCTTTAAGACGCACTAAAGGAATAGGGACTGCAGCCCGAGTAGTATCCTCTAAGTATGTTTAGACATTTTTGTCAAAGAACTAGCTCATTTCTTTCACAATTTTCTTAGACTACTTTGCCACAGCTGTAAAATAAGTATTTTTTTTCTGCCGTTCTCTCTTCTAGAATGAGAAACATTGGATTGCAAATGGTGTCTATTTGCAAAATTCTCTGTAATCTTTCCCTCTGTTCCCAGAATTCGTTCACCTTATGACACAATAGAGGCAAGTATTACAATTATCACAATGTCTTTTACTGTTTCAACAGCTATTGTTCCTTCAGTTTTCTTTTGAGAGTTTTTTTGCCCCTCCCTATTGTATTAAGTTGTTTTAAAAGAAGATCATTTTTCCTGGCTAAGTTTGGATCACTCAGTCATGCAAACTACAGGTTACACGGTTTGCATCCTCTGGTGTCCGTGTGCTCCAAAGTATTCTCCAGGTTTTCCACTAAGTACAAGGACATTAGTTAGAGAGACTAGACCAGAGACACAGGGGTATGGTGCTGATAGCTACAGCAAAAATATATCACTTATTAGACAGAGGTGACAGCTTGGCCACACAGTGTGACCTCCTAAATTACCTGCCATTTTAACCCATTTCTGTATTTTGAATACTGATGATGGTCTTGATTTCTGCTACTTCAAGATTTTCCATGAAGTGGCAGTTTATATCAGTCACTTTATTAATGTAAAAAAAAAATATTACATGAGTAGAATAAATATTTGCTATATTTTCAAACTTTCCTCTTTAGATTATTTTTCTACGGTATTTGTCAGATTCAAGAAGCTATAAAACAGCTAGATTGATGATTCCTTTGGTACAATTTTTCCCAGCTCTGCATACTAGGTTTCATCTAGATGATTTAATCATCTAGAAACAACACTCTTCTCCAGTACCATGACAGTTTTATCAGTCATCTATAGGATGTTACTAGGGCAAGTAATTAATTGGATTGTTGTTACTATGGCAAGTAATTAATGGAATTGTTGTTCCCAACCAATCCTGAAACAGAAAACTGTACTGAAAATGCAAAATAACAAACTTACTATGAACAGTTACTATTCTTCAATGTACAGAAGAAAAAGCAGGCATGGAAGTTAAATAAATATTACATGCTTGATAAATCCTAAACCAGAATGAGACAGATACTCTCTTGTATGATTTGCTGCTTTGTTCACTCAAGTGGTACAGAGAAGTTATAGATTACAGAAGTGAAGAGAGGGAGAGAAAGACAGAGCAAGAGGGAA